TGAAAATGAAGATCCGGATCACGTGTTAAAGAAACGCATTCATCAGTGTTGAAGTGAACACGTGTAACATGATGGTATGCTGATGGTGAAACTAGCAAAGATCTGTCACATTAAACTAAAAGTTGAAGGGAACTATGAGTATTTAACAGGCTGGTTGCAGAAATTTGAGAAAAGATACAGCATTGAGTTTTTAAGGATCTGTGGTGCTAAAGCATCTACTGATCACAAAGCAGTGGAGAAATTCATTGACCAGGTTGCTAAGGTTGCTAAGGTCATCGCTGATGAAAACCTGATGCCAGAACAACTCTACAGTGCTGATGAAGCATCACTGTTTGGGCATTACTGCCCCAGAAAGACACTGACCACAGCTGATGAGACAGTCCCTGTGGGAATTCAGGTGCGAAGGACAGAGTAACTGAGTTGGGATGTGCAGATGCAGCAGGCATACAGAAGTGTCATCTTGCTGTGGTAAGCAAGCTTGCATCCTCACTTGGGCTGAACTTCTTGCCAGTCCAATATGATGCTAATAAAAAAGACCTGCATCACCAGAGACATCTTTCTAGTTAATTTCACAAACATTTCGTACCAGTGTCTCACGCTCAACTACAGGAAAGCTAGATTAGATGACAATGGCAAGATTTTGTTATTCCTTGACAACTGTTCTGCTTATCCTCCAACTGAAATTTCTCATAAAAAATAATACTGATGCCATGTACTTTCGGGTAAATGTGACTTCATTAATTCAGCCATGTGACCAGGGTAACTTTAGATCTATGAAGAGTGAATGTAAGAACCCTTTCTTGAATAACACGCTAGCAGCAGTGAACAGAGGTATGGGTGTGGGAGGACTTTCGAAAGGAGTTTAGCATGAAAGATGCCTATATGCTGTTTCCAGTGCTTGGAACACAGTGACTAAAGACACAGTGGTGCATACCTGGTACAGTCTCAGACCTGCGACTCTGTTCAGTGGTGGTGATAAAATGGCATATGTCATGTCAGAAAAAAATGATGTCTGACTTTCTTATATATGTGAAAAAGATTCCTTCAGAATCTGTCAGTAAGCTGGAGGAAGTGGATATTGAAGTTTTTAACCTCGATCATCGGGGTCCAGTTGTTCATTCATTCGCTGATGGTGAAATAGCTTAACTGGTTCTTAATCAAGGTGATCGTGACAATAGTGATGATGCAGATGAAGTCGTTAATACACGGAAAAAGTGCCGACAGACAACAGGGTGAAAATGTGTGATGGGCTTATTGCAGGACTCGAGTGGTGTGCATTTAGAACAGAACAGAAAATCATGTCAGTTTATAAAATCAAAGAGAGACTTTTAAGGCACAAATTGTTGTGAATGAGGCTGATGACTCTGGAGGCAACATTTAAATAAGTCATGGAGCAGAACGCCTCATCATCCCTAGAGGACTCACTTCCTGGTCCCTCAACTGCTTCTGATGTTTCTTCTCACCTGAATAAAAACACTGTGCAGTTGCCTTTCAATCAAAACACAGCATCGGAAGTGGAGCCCGAAAGCCTGCTGTTTGCTGTTGCCGTTGTCTACCAGTTGATACAGGTATTCTGGTAATGCTACTGTGAGGCTGAGTTACCCCGAACACGTTATGCAGGCGTCCCCAAACTTTTTACACAGGGGGCCAGTTCACTGTCCCTCAGACCGTTGGAGGGCCGCCACATACTGTGCTCCTCTCACTGACCACCAATGAAAGAGGTGCCCCTTCCTAAAGTGCAGCGGGGGGCCGGATAAATGGCCTCAGAGGGCCGCATGTGGCCTGCGGGGCCGTAGTTTGGGGACGCCTGACGTTATGTGTTCACTGTGTTAATGGGGTGTCATTCTTTTCACTATTAAGCACCTACGTGTAAGTGTAAGAAAATGATTGCTTACTGGTAACATAAATTCACAGTCAAGAATGACAGTGATCCCAAACAACCAGATTGTCCACATGGGTGACTAAGATGGTGATGCCTTTGCTTTCTGATGACTCAATGTATGCAAACTGTTTCAAGCATAAAATTATTGTAAATATTGTGTAAAATTACCTCTAGGCTATGTATATGAGGTGCATATGAAATATAAATGAATTTCATGTTTCTTTCTTTCTTTTTTTAGACAAAGTCTCACTCTGTCGCCCAGACTGGAGAGTGCAGTGGCGTGATCTCAGCTCACTGCAACCTCTGCCTCCCAGGTTCAAGAGATTCTTCTGCCTCAGCCTCCCGAGTTAGCTGGAATTATTACAGGCGTGTGCCACCACGCCTAGCTAATTTTTCTATTTTTTGGTAGTGAAGGGATTTCACCATGTTGGCCGAGCTGGTCCCAAACTCCTGACCTCAGGTGATCCACCCACCTTGGCCGCCCAAAGTGTTAGGATTACAGGCATGAGCTACAGTGGCCAAGTGAATTTTATGTTTAGATTTGGGTCCCATCCCCAAGATATCTCAGCATATATATGTAAATATTTCAAAATCTTAAAAAGTCTGAAATCCAAAACACTTCTGGTTCCAAACTTTTCAGATAAGAGATACTCAATGTATATATAATTTATTAAGCACATGCTAGGCTTAGCACTATGCATGTTATTTTACTCAATCCACGTAACTACCTTTTACGATCAATTCTATTATTGCCCCATTTTACAGATGGTGAAGCTGAGGCTTACAGTGGTAGGTTAACTTGCCATGGTCACTCATATAATAAAAAGCAAAATCAGGCTTCTAGCTCAGTTAGCCTTGTACCAGAGTCCACACATTTAACCACTATGTCATTGGTTAACAAACTTGAGTGATATCTAAACCATCTAGGGGACTTGTGAAACTCAGATTTCTAGGCCCCATCCTAGAGTTTCTGATTAAATAGGTCTGGAGGGTGGGGCCTAACAATTGGCATTTCTAACAAGCTCAAGCTACAACTGCTGCTGTAGGCCTGGGGAGCCCAGTGCCCCGTGGTGAAGCTAATCAGCCCCTCCCTTGCACAGGCTCCCTCTACGGCCCTGGAAGGAAGCTAAAAATGTGTTCATAACAATCAGATATTTTTGTAACATTAAAAAAATATATGCAGAGCACGGTAACTCAGTGCTTTGGGAGGCTGAGCAGAGTGGATCGTTTGAGGCCAGGAGTTTAAGATCAGCCTGGGCAGCGTAGCGAGACCCTGTCTCTACAAAATCAAAAAATTAGCTAGGCATGTGGTGCGAACCTCTAGTCCTAGCTACTGGGGAGGCTGAGGCAGGAGGATCACTTGAGCCCAGGAGTTTCAGGTCATGGGGAGCTTTGATAGTGCCACTGCACTGCAGCCTGGGCTACAGAGCAAGACAATCTCTTAAAAAAATACATATATGTTATAAATAAATAAAAATATAAGATACTTGTGTATTACTTTCTTAAAGCAGATCCTTAAAATTGTAGAAGCTTTGAGTCCCCCAAAGCCTGATCTGCCCAGACCCTGATGTCTTCTTTCAGTTACAGGCCTCCTGTTTTCATCTCAAAGCCAGCTCACATTACAAAATCCAGACCACAAGCCATAGCTACCTCCCAGCCCAGCAGGCTAGGATTTCATGAGGTTCTTAAGTCTGTATATATCTACTGACACAATCTGTCTGCAGGTTTCAGATAAAGATGGGACTAAAGTAGCTTAATGTATTAAAGGGATCGCCTCAGCCATCAGGATATCCTAGCCAGAATCTGATTTGGGATCTCAAGTGGTGTCACCAGCGCCCTTTGTAGGAAGGGTAGGGAGATGGGAGAGGTTCCTTTGTATGCCTGGACCTGGGAGGCCAGCGTCGGGCTAGTCTCGGTGGCAGCAAGGAAACCCCTTTCTTTATTATAAGAAGAGAACTTGCAGCCAGATGGTGATGAAGGGAGCGGGTGCTCTTTACGATGGGTTGTTTCAAATCTTCCACCTGGCAAGGGTCCAACACCATCACAAAGGACTGTGAGCATGGTGTTTGGGGAATAGGAAGCAAAGGAAGGAGAGAAATAAAAATCTGACCTTTCTACAGTGACTTGGAGGCTGAGGATTCCCCTACCCCATTCCCAACACACTGCAAGCACGAAATCACAGCACCCTGATGTCAAAGGTTGTTGAAGAGATTTTCTTATCTCCTGTCCAACATACAATTAAAATACCACTGGAGCCATAAATGGAACTAAAAGAGGCAGAAACAGAAATTAATTTTAAAAATAGATGTAAACCAACATATTAAAAATATGATCACATCAGCATATAATCAATATAAAAATAGATTAATAAGCTATTTTACAGTTTTTCATGTTAAGTCTTTGAAATCCAGTGTGTGTCTTTACACTGCAGCCCATCTTAGTCTGCACACTAAACTTTCTTTCCTGTCTTTATTTCATAAGCTAGACTTCATTCAAATTAGAGTTCTCTGTTCTGTGAAATACAATTGGTAAAATAATGAAAAGACGCCAGGTGCCGTGGCTCATGCCTGTAATCCCAGCACTTTGGGAGGTGGGAGGATCACCTGGAGGGCCGGGTGTTTGAGACCAGCCTGGGCAATATGGCAAAACCCTGTCTCTATAAAAATTCAAAAAATAGCCAGGCGTGGTGGTGGGTACCTGTAATCCCAGCTATTCAGGAGGCTGAGGCACAAGAATCGCTTGAACCCACAAGGCGGAGGTTTCAGTGAGCTGAAATCGTGCCACTGCACTCCAGCTTGGGAGATAGAGCAGACTCTGTCTCAAAAGTAAAATGAAATAATGAAAAGATAAACTGCAGACTGCAAGAAAATATTTTCAAAACACCTAGTTGATAAACTACTCGTGACCAAATATGCAAAGAACTATTACAATCAATAATAAGAAACTAAACAACCCACTTAAGGAATGGACAAAATCACAAACATCAAAGAAGATATATGGATGGCAAATAAATATATTAGAGATGCTTACTCATTTTTCTTGTTTTATTCATTAGAATTGTTAGTATTTTAAAATTTAGATGTTTAATTTTAGTATTTTTTTCTTTTTTTTAATTCAGTCTCTGTAGAGACTGTCAAAAATTGCTGATGCTGTCTATATTTCAAGTCGTCATGGCGAGGTATTGGGAAATTTTTCAATTAGCAATAATTGCGCCTCAGACAAACCTCATTGGCTACAATACTGCCACTGTGCAAAGTGTAATTTTAGTATTTTTAATACACCCATGTGCGTGTTTGTCACATGGGTACATTGCATGATGCTGAGGTTTGGGCTTCTAATGATTCCATAGCCCAGGTGGTGAACACAGTGCCCAATAGGTAGGTAGCTTTTCAATCCTTCCCCTCTTCTGCTCCCACCTCTTGGAATCAAGTGTTTATTGGTCCCATCTTTGTGTCCATGTGTACCCAATGTTTAAGCTCCAACTTATAAGTGAGAACATGTGGTATCTGGTTTTCTGTTCCTGCCTTAGTTTGCCTAGGATAATAGCCTCCAACTGCATCCACGTTGGTACATAGGTCAAAATGTTGTTCGTTTTTATGGCTGCATCATATTCCATGGTGTATATGTACATTTTCTCCATGCAATCCTCTGTTGTTGGGTATCTGGGTTGATTCCATGTCTTTGCTACTATGAATAGTGCAGCCATAAATGTCCTAGTGCAGGTGGACACTAAATTTTCAACAGATAAAGTGAAATGTGGCCCTAACAAAATAATAAAGTATGTTTAATGGAAAAGTATGTTCTACTGCTTCAGTTTTTACATTTATGTTAAATCGTATTAAAATTTAAGATCCTCGGTTGAACCAGCTATATTTCACATGATCTATACACGTGACTAGTATTGGAGGTACAGCTTGAAGACGGTACACTGTTTCCTGGGCCTCTGGGGATAGCAGTTGATAGAATGGATGAAAATGTCTTTGTTTCTGGAATAATAGTAATAATAGCAGTAGTAACTGTCTGGAGTCCTCACAGAAAAGATGGAAGGCTTTGGAATTTGGAGAAAAGCAAAAAAGGAAAATCCAGGTGGTCAGGATTCCTATTACAGAATCTCATAACCCTGGAACGATAATGAGCAAAAGTTATGACCATGCTCATTAATATATTGCTTGTGTGATGAGTTGCTTAGAGTCTGACTCGTCTGCTAAGCTCTGTGGGGGTAGGAAATGTGCCTCTCTTATTCACCCTAATATCTATGGAGCCCAGCACCGTGCCTGCTATCAGAGCTCTGGGTTCTGTTTAAAGAATAAATTCAAAAGCTGCACTCAATCCTGTGAAGACAAGGTGAGGCAGGGTTTATGTGATTCTGCCCAGCAGAAGCAAATCAGCCCAAACAGAGGGCTGCCATATGAGCAAGACTGGCAAAGGCAGACTACGGTTTAGGTGAAAACACAGCACTACCAAACTGGGTAGAGCGTCTCCATTTCACAGGTGAAACCATTTGCGGTATCAGTAAGCCACGATAACTTCTTAAGTCCTGAAGCCCTGCAGAACCTAGAGGGTTTCCAGCACCCCTAACTCTGAGGTCACTCTCCTTCCCACACAGGCCCTGTTTTTTTCCGGGTTCCTCTTCTTTTATTTCCTCCAGTTACAAGGAAATCATATATCAGCAGGTTAGACTCTTAGTGAGCGACGGGGAAGCACCATTCGTCAGTGGGGAGTAATGTTAGTCTGGACTCTTCAGAGAAAATGACAGAAACGGCACTTCCGGAAGCTTCAAGGGGAACGCATCACCAAAGTGCTCAGACTACGGGCCCCCGGACGGGCCGTAATTAGCGCAGCTCAGCCGGAAGCAGGTCACCAGCGGCGTCTCCCTCCTTCTCTACCCACACCTCTTCCTGTCTCTGTCTCTCTCCTCTCGCTCTCTCTGTCTGTCTCTCTTTTTTTCTGCAGACTGGCGTCCTTCCGACTTCAGCCACGCATGGATCATACCTAGCCACCAGCGACCACGCGTGAGAGCCTCAGTGTTAGCCACGAGAGTCAGGTAGACAACTCTCTTGGGTTCAAATTTCAGAATCCCACCGAGGGGCCCCTTTGACCAGCCTCTCCAGGCGCCCTGCTCTGGATGAATTGATCGCGGCTGGGCCTGGGAATTCCCAGCACCCTGACGCTAAGGACATTGAGGAGGCTTTTCTTGTTGCCCTAGATTTGTGAGTGCAGCTCCAGTAAAGAGTATGAGGTGTTAGTCCACCCACATTATGAACGCAGCCACCTCGAGGGTGCACCCAAGAGACTGCCCAGTTGTCCCTGCAGCCCCCAGGCCCCATGCCTGGTGGGAACCTCAGCCCATTGGAGGAGATGACTGGAGCGAGGGGAGGGACAGTTCCTGGGTGGTAGCGCTCCTGTGGCGTGAGACAAGTCGAGGGTGGGAAAGGGGGGCTTTCCTTCCACGGAAGGAATGCCCCAGGACAACCCTCTAGCGCGGTGGGCTGGAGCGGAGGGGGCCTGGATTCAGGGCCATCTTCGCAGGCATGTGAGTTGTGCACTCGCACAGAATGGCCCCTCACTTGGTTTAATGCTCTGCTCTCGCCATCTTGACGTTCTTAATACCTGTTAAACAATTCTGGGCCTGGTCCTGCAAACGGAGTGGCCAGTCCTGCTGGCATTCCTTTCTCTCTTCAGATGCTGCTCAGACAGCGGACATTCTTTTTCTTTTTTTTTCTTTTTCTTTTTCTTTTTCTTTTTCTTTTTTTTTGAGACGGAGTTTCGCTCTCGTTACCCAGGCTGGAGTGCAATGGCGCGATCTCGGCTCACCGCAACCTCCGCCTCCTGGGTTCAGGCGATTCTCCCAGACAGCGGACATTCTATCCTGTGCCCACATCAACAGGAGAAAGATGTCAGGGCAAGGTGAGGGTGGCGCTGGGGCACCCAGTCCTCCCACTCCACTTGAGGTGGCAAGGCCATGTGGGTTTCCACTGGTCCAGAAGACCCCATGAAGGAGAACTGGCAGCAAATCATCTTGTCCCTACCTTGACCCAAAACACCTATCCTTGTGCCACGGGACCCTGGCAGCAAGAGACTTGGGGCCTGTTCTAACGGTGGAGGCTGAAGAGGAATGGGGCACCATGTCAGGCTTAGCAGGCTCATCCACACCCGGGAACTGAGCCATACAGAGGCTCTGCAGGGCTCTTCAAGGACTCAAAATCTGGTGCTTCTTGAAGGCAGCCACGGGAGCTGACACATGAAGGATATTTGAGGAAGGAGGCCTGACAAGCAGTGAACCGCAGCTGAGTCCCGGTAGAGAGGAGCCTGGCCCCACCTCTCCACTCCTCCGTCACTTCCTCCAGCTCCTAAGGAAAGAGACGGAGGAGGCATCCTCAGCCAGGTCCTGCTGCCATTCCCGCGGTGAGTCCTGGCACTTTGGGGGAAGGATAAGATGAAGTATGAAACGTCCCTGGGATGGGAAGCTTCAAACTGAGGAGGAATGAGCTTGAAAAATCTGAAAGTCACCTGAAAGTCATGGGACCTGACCTAAATGTTATGAAGGGATCCTTTATGCAGCAGGGGTATACCAGGTGCATCCCTGGAGCCCGGCCGGGGGCAGTGAGCGGAGGAAAACACTGGCTTGATGTATACAGATGGTGCCACAGCACTCATGAGGAAGGGGCCCTGGCAGACCATGTGGAATGTGCCCACCCCAGAGGCTCCCCTTCCAGGAGGGGTGGGGCCCTGTGCCCCAGACTTGAGTGAGCTCCCAGCCACGTGGGGGCCCAGCTGGCCAGGGTCCTAGGCCCACATGAGAAAGCGTGTTCCCCGAGATGGCTGCATTGTGTCTCCCAGCTGCAGACAGGCTGGGGCTCTGCATTCAGGATGAGCCCGCTGAACACATTGGCAGATGCCCTGAGGAGTGCCCTGGCATTTTTTCTGCATTGGTTCAGAGCCGTGGTTCGCCAATGTTATGCCAACACCAGAATCCTCTGCTGGAAAACTTGCTAAAACACATTGTTTTGGCTTCTGGCCTGGAATTTGGATCAGAAGTTCTGGGGTGAGGCCTGAGAATGGGCATTTCTAACACATTCCCAGAGGACCACACAGAGAGCTGGCAATCTGTACATCTGCCTCACCTGGGAGGATCTGCTTCTGCAGGTAGGGATTCTGCCACCCTTACCATACTTTCTAGGTTCAGTAGAGGCCTGGCTGACCTCTCCCTGAGAGCCTCACCAGCCCCTAGAAGTGACAGCAGGGACAAGTGGTTCTTTTCCCAACCTGTGTGGCCGGTATGCTGGAGCAGCAGGGACTCGGCATGGGTTTTATCTCCCTCTCAGCCCTGCCCAAGTTAGAGGTTCCAGCCCTTTGCTCCTCTGACCGTGTCTGCTAAGTCTGTCCTAGAGGTGACAGCCAGGCAGGCGTGTGGAATTAGAGGGCTGGCAGGTGCTTCAGAAACCTAGAGTGGTCCTTGGTCTCTGCACACCACCCAGTCTGTTTTAAACATCTAACATCTTAGTTAACATCTGAGAGTGAGCTTGTCACTATTCTGCTTGATCTATCCTCCACTGGCTTTTTTCCCAATGATAAGATACATAAAACACAAAACTCATCATTTCACCCATTCCAATTATTATTATTTTTTTAGACGGAGTCTCTGTTGCCAGGCTGGGGTGTAATGGCGCGATCTCGGCTCACTGCAACCTCTGCCTCCTGGGTTCAAGTGATTCCCCTGGCTTAACCTCCCGAGTAGCTGGGACTACAGGTGCTCACCACCACGCCCAGCTAATTTTTTTTTTGTATTTTTAGCAAAGATGGGGTTTTACCATGTTGGTCAGGATGTTCTTGATCTTCTGACCTCATGATCCACCCTCCTTGGCCTCCCAAAATGCTGTGATTACAGGCGTGAGCCACCGCGCCCAGCCTCCAGTGACTTTTGAAGTGCACAACTCAATGGTAATAAGCACATCCACATTGCTGTGCAGCCATCACCACCAACCATATCCAAAACTGTTCCATGCCCCACATAGAAACTCATCCCACCCCTCGGCCCTTAGAACTTCTATTCTAGGTTCCTTGTATGAATGGCATCATAAAATACCTTTTTGTGTCAGACTTAATTTGACCTAGCACATGTTCAAGGTCCCTGCGTATTGTAGCATGTGTCACAGTTTCGTTCCTTTTTAAGGGTGATGAATATGCCATTGTAGACAGGCACACCACATTTTGTTCACAGACTTACCAGCTGGTGGACGCCTCAGTTGTTTCCACCT